GTTAAACAACACAATAAGAGCAGGAGTGCTCAACAAAGACTCTCTACTACTGCACGACGGGAGAGAACTTCAACGAGCCAGAGGAACATGCTTCACATGTCCCGAAGCCGACCTACCGCATCAGCCGTTCGTACCTCATCACAACCCAAGCGCACCTGCATACACACCACTTGAGAAAGTATACAGCGACATCCTGTACAATCGCGCAACAGGGCAAGGAGCCCTCAATTACACCATCACCTTCATCGACGCCGCCACTCGATACGTCTGGCACCTCAACCTTCCAAGCCGCGATATGGCTTTCGAAGCCTTTGTCGCCTGGCTTCCAGTCGCAGAACGAGAATCGGGAGCCAAGCTGAAAAGCTTTCAGTCAGACGGGGGAGGAGAATACACCTCACAGAGGTTCAAGCAATACTTGGCGGAAAGAGGAATCAAGAAACTCATCTCCCTCCCCTACGCCCATCAACAGCAGGGTGTAGCAGAAAGGATGAACAGGACACTGCAGAACACCATGCGCAAACTGCTACGTGGCATGCGGCTACCCAACCACCAGTGGCCAGAGGCGATGGACCACGCTGTCATGCTGCACAACTTGCCGTCCTCGTCGTCACTCCCGAACAACGCATCACCGCACCTGTTGTGGACAGGAAAACTGGGCAGCACAAAAATGTTACGAGTTTTTGGGTGCATGGTACAGTACCGACCCCCAGCTGCACGAGCCGGCCGATTCTCCCAACGAGCACAATGGGGACTACACCTGGGCATCGAAAAGAACTACAACGCGTGGAAAATTTTCGACGTCCACTCCAAAGAAACAGTACCAGCACGCGATGTCATCTTCTACGAGCGACTCACCCTCGACTCCTACCTTGCCAACTTGGCAGAACAGCGAGACCTCACCAGTGGATTCCGTGGAGACCGAGCCTTCGCCTCGGCAGCCGACGAAGCTGACCTGGACGAACAGAACGTGGAGGGAGCCTCGGAAGCAGCCGGACCACTCCCTTACTGCTCCGTGGATATCCCAATGGACGACGAAAACCCTCGCGAAAGCATCAACGCCGAAGTCTTCTACGATTTCGCCGACACCGGTTACGTTACACCTGCACGGGTCAACACCGACGAAGCAGAACGCATAGGACCGAATTTCTTACCGGACCCAGAGGACGGTGACGAAGCAGCTTATCCCGAGGATACCACACTCCCCCGCTACACACAGAGTGGACTGCAAATCCTCGGCCTCGTCACCGCAGTCCACGGAACGACACCTCCTAAGGAGCCTGCGACGGTTCAACAGGCTCTGGGGGGGGAACATAGGGAAAAATGGCGTGAAGCCATGGACAAAGAGCTAAAGGCACTAGAGGAGCGCAACACCTGGAAAGTCGTCCCTATCGGCGTAGCACGAAACAAGACAATACTCACCGGAAAGTGGGTCTTCCGTGTGAAAACAAAGGCTGACGGCACCATCGACAAGTTCAAAGCGCGCTGGGTCGTACGCGGTTTCGACCAGGAGCATGGACGGGACTTCACCGAAACGTTTGCTCCGGTTAGCCGCCATACTTCACTTCGCATCCTTCTCGCAATCGCCGCCATGAAGAAGAAAAAGCTGCGACAGATCGATGTCGCAAACGCATTTCTCTACGCACCTGTTGACGCAGAGATCTTCGTGGAACTACCATACGGTTCCAGCACGAACTCCACGCACGTTTGCCAGCTGCTAAAATCGCTTTACGGGATCAAACAGGCTCCGCGACTATGGCAACAGTACCTGCATGCACGTCTCATCCGCATCGGCTTTAAGCAACTCCCGCACGACCAGGGCATGTACCGGCTCACGAAGAACGACGACTACATCCTGCTAATCGTCTACGTAGACGACCTCCTCTATATCGGCTCCACCGACGGCATCACCACCTGGTTCGAAGGGGAGCTGCAACAAGACCTCACACGCACGGTTTCGTCTACTGTGACTCAGTACCTCGGCCTCAACATCCGGGAAGAAGACGACGCAATCTACCTCAGCGCCGCAAAATACGCCGACACCATCGCCAAGCACTTCAACCTCACGCCAACCGCCATCTCCACACCATATCGCTACACGACAGGAAACAACAAGGGAGAATCTACTCTACTCAAGCCTGCCGGCATTCGCGACTACCAGAGAAAGCTGGGATGTCTTCTCTTCGCAGCCGTCACCTGTCGCCCAGACCTATCCTACTCCGCAAGCCAACTCGCCACCTACCTCAAAAGACCCGAGGCAGAGCACCTAGCAGAACTCGACCGCGCTCTTCACTACCTCGTCAGCACCCCGACGATCGGGCTAACCTATCACAAGAACGCAACTACACCGACTAAGTTAATCGGCTACGTCGACGAAACCATGCTGGTGACTCAGATAACAGACGCTCGCGCACCGGCTATATCTACCGCTTGGAACCTATCGGTCCTATCTCCTGGCAGTCGAGTAAGCAGGAATTAATCGCCCTCTCATCAGCTGAAGCAGAATATATCGCACTCTGCTCAGCCACCAAAGAAGGACTTTATCTTCGCGAGCTGCTGGAAGAAGCAAAGTTAGCCGAGTTACCCAACTTCACCCTGTTCTGCGACAACCAGTCAGCAATTCGTATCGCCAACAAAAGCGGCTTCGCGAACAGGACGAAACACATTGCCCTACGGTACTTCTTCGTGAAAGACGAAATCGAGAAGGGAAGACTTGAACTATCCTACTGTCCGACGTCCGAGATGGCAGCTGACTACTTGACCAAGAAACTCGGAAAGCAGAAGTTCGAGTACTGCATGCTGCTGACTGGACAGGGCCACGTCATCAGCAGCGACACTCCAGAAGCGAAGGGGAGTGTTGGAAACAATAAATCCTAAGCGCCTCTGTCGTGTCGAAACATCGCACCAGAAGCGAAGCAAACTATATTGAAGCACACGCGAGTCAACCCTCGGAGGTTGAAAGAGGTTGCTGGAGGTTACGCGAAAGTCAAAGGTCAAGCGACCTTTGACCTGACAAGTACAGCGCGACAGTTAAGGACACACAACTGACTCGTTACAGAGCAGTTGCCCGAGTCGTACTGTATCAAACCGCAACAGCAAATTAGTTACAATCGTATCCTTTCGTATTCCTTGTACTACTATATATTCTTGTATCTCTTTGCTATAATCAACTTACTTTGCTCTCACACACTAGTGCAAGGTGGTTCACAAGTCTTCATTAAACGCTTCCGCTATTACAATAGTCCTACCCCGAATTTACCCCTGCAAAAGATCCTAAGGGCTTTTCTCAGCCCAACAAGAGTTGACTCGAAGCGTCAGACGGTTAGGGTGGATCTAGACCGTCGGAGAAAAACGGCATCGGGCAGCTGCAGGGACGATGAATCTGGCGGGAACAGTTTCGTAACTGCTCGGGCCGCACGGTTGGTTTGAATTCGAATAAGGGAATGTACCCCTTAGAGTACATGGCTAGTCAGGTCGCTTCGTATTCAGTTGTACTCATATTTATATCGTTGTATTTGCATGTTCTATTCATCTCAAAGCATTTTATATTCACTCTGCTATTGAGGTCAAGGGCCCACCAAACTATCTCACTACGTGCGAACCTTCCTGAGTAGATCCTGGGCTACGATCAACTTCTGATCTCAGCAGAGTGAAACTGCAAAGTTCTGAAATGAAGTCGTGGGTGGAGGCCGAATGGCCTCCAACCCTCGTTATGTAACTTGGCGAATTGTAATTCGCCGTTGCTTTGCTTCGTTACAGGCAGCTGCGCTTTCACAATACACATTTTTAGAAAGTGTTACACACTTTCGAAAAATTTCATATTGTGACAAGACTCTGAAAGGAGTCTGCAATGCAGTCGTCATAGGTAAAACCATTCGCCATGTCGTGAAGTCTAGCAGCAAAAACGTCTTGAATGAGGGTTGGGGGTTGTTGAGATCCAACTCTAACCATAGGACAGAGAATGTGCCAACTCAAGTTGAGATGATGAAATGAGACTAGGTGGCAGGTCTGTGGACCTGCAGAGGGATAAGGTGGGAATGCCTCCTTATTGCATTCCCCGTTTTCCGAATCTTGTCACAATCATTAAATTTAGAAATATATTTATAAATTATTCATGAAGCGGCAATAACAACTCGCGGAACATCACATAGGGGCAGAGTGTGGGCACAGTTCGCCATAATGTTTTGCCACCCCTCCATAAACATCGTTTTTTGGGATGTACACAGTAGCAAAGAAATACCTGACACAGGGATCATCATTGGAGCGTTGTGCACGAATGAGTGAACCGAGAAGAAACGAGAATTGCGGTACTTCTCCGTAATCTAGCTTGACCTTCAGACCGCTACTGGTCGGCAGACTACTTACGCTTCGCGCAGCGAGGTCGCCTCTCAGGTTCTCGTTTCCGCCACCCGCCACCCGCACAACGTGAGTCTCTAGTCCCCGCCGTTCAACTCGTACATCGCCCCCCAACGCCCGCTTTCCACCCGCCAATCTGCGCTGCCGCTCCCCGCCTCCCCTCTCCTCGCCTCTCCCCCGTGCCGCTGCCGCCTCGTCTCCCACTCCTCTCGCCCTTCCCTCTCCCTTCCCTCACCCCTCTCCCAGCTCTTGCGCGCCGCTCTTCCCCACATCCCTCCGCGCGCGCACGCGGGCCCGCGCCATTGTCCGCCAACGGCACTCCCAGCGCTACGCTCCTTCTCCTCTCGCTCCCCTGCCCGTCTTCCCTCTTCCCCCCGCCCTCCGCCCTGCTTCCCCGTTCCCCCGTTCCCCGTCCCCTTCGCATCCCAGCCTCCCTCCGGTTTTCACCCACAACCCCACCCTCCCCTCTGTTCCCCGCGCCACCTTGCGCGTCCCGCGGATCCTCCGCGCCCTTTACACTCCCCTCCCCTTTTCGTCGCGCCCATTCCTCTCCCGTCTCGTTGCGCCCCCTCCATTCCTCTCCCGTCTCGTCGCGCCCTCCCAACCCCCCCTGCCCCTAGTTTCCCCGCGCTTCTCCACGGTTGTAGATGGGTTGCGGGGAGGAATGGGGGAGTTGGCGGATGGTGGCATGGGGGGACGAGTGGTGCAAGGCAAGGCAAGGAGCAGATGCCTTGCACGCAACCCAACCATGCGAGTACTCCAAGTACTCCAAGTACTCCATGTCACGACTCACGCAATACTTGTTACTCGCCTCCCCCTTGTGCCACTCGCCTCCCCCTTGTGCCACTCGCCTCCCCCTTGTGCCACTCGCCTCCCCCTTGTGCCACTCGCCTCCCCCTTGTGCCACTCGCCTCCCCCTTGTGCCACTCGCCTGTTCCGTGCGACACTCACAAGGCATGCGTGCGGGCCATAGCTGCCAGCAACACCACCAGAAGCAGCATCACTGCTGCTCACCCGCCTTCACACCCGCTTCCCCTCCGTGCCCCTTCCCCTCCGTGCCCCTTCCCCTCCGTGCCCCAACCCCTCCGTGCACCATTCACAGGGCAGGCGTGGGGGCCATGGCTGCCGTTGCCACCACCTCGACCATCACCGCCACTCACCCGCCTTCCACCATTCCTCCCACCAACCACACATGGTATGGTACCGTACCGGCGACACTCATAAGCCACAACCTGCTCCGCAGCTGTCTTGTTCCTTTCCGCCCTTCCAAGTCTTCCCTAGCGTCTCTGCACAGGTGCACTCACAAGTGTATTTTGAGTCGACTCGAAATACACTTGGTGAATCCACAGGCGGACTGGCATCCTCCTCACTCCTGTCCGGCCAGGGTCGTACAGGGCTGATCTGTCGACCTCCCTTGTACCAATCGCAGTGCACGCACACCCGCAACTGATGGTTATTCTTTGTCCCCCTGCCTGCCCCATTCGACCCACCCCAACCCCCCCTCTCTCCTCCCTCTTTCTGCACGCAGTGAGCTGCGGGTGGCGTGTGCGTTGGCAGAGGAGCTTTGAGACGTCTCAAAACTCGACCTCCCCACTACCCACACACCCCCTCACCCTCCTCCTCCCACCCCCCTCCCCTCTCCGTCTCCTCTCCGAGCACTGAGCTGCGGGTGGCGTGTGCGTTGGCAGAGGAGCTTTGAGACGTCTCAAATCTCGACCTCCCCACTACCCACACACCCCCTCACCCTCCTCCTCCCTCCCCGCTCCCCTCTCCGTCTCCTCTCCGAGCAGTGAGCTGCGGGTGGCGTGTGGGTCGGCAGAGGAGGCGCTCATTCTGCGCAACACACTCGCAGTCGACCCCGAGGTGAGGCTTTAGGGGGTCAGGTTACGCCTCCCCACACCCACCTCCCCAAGGTCACGCCTCCCCACTCCCACCTCCCCAAGGTCACGCCTCCCCACACCCACCTCCCCAAGGTCACGCCTCCCCACACCCACCTCCCCAAGGTCACGCCTCCCCACACCCACCTCCCCAAGGTCACGCCTTCCCTTGACCTTTGTAATTCAGTCGGGACCTCATGACCTCGTCCTCTTTCCCTCCACATCCCGTTCCATCGACAACCATTCGTATGCCATCCACTTACCATCCCTCCCTGTGTCTCATTCCCACTGGCAGCTGCAACCCGACAAGCTCATGCGAGTGATATCGGTCCACAACATCCACCTCTCCGTGTACGCCCCACAAAACAGGCAGTCCCTTTCCTCCATACCCTGATTTTTTGTTTCATTACTGACTGCCGCGACTTCCTTTGAAGAGCGGCCACCAGCTTTCTGTGCATCTGGGGCCCTCTCGTGCACCCCTCTCCTGCACCCCTCTCCTGCACCCCTCTCCTGCACCCCTCTCCTGCACCCCTTTCTCATCTCTACCTGCTTCCATGCACGCTGCACGCTTCACTCTGTGTCCTGCCCTTGTCCAATGCCACTTCTGTCTTTCTTCTCTTTGCATGGGGTGGGGGTTGCCTGCCTTGGGTCCCCCTCCGGTGCTTCTAATAATAGTCGATGGACTCGGAAGGTTGTTGTGAAAAAGAATAGCGGTGGCCTGTGTTTCACTAATGCTGCTCATGCTACGGATGCCACTCGTGCCACACATGCCACATATCGCATAACTCAATCTCGCTGCGGGTCGCAAACGTCAACGCCCAATGCATCCTCACTTGGTTTCTCACCTCTCTCCACCCCTCCCTCCACCCCTCCCTCCACTGCCAGCACCGTCCCCATGTGCCCTTCTCCCCACACACCCCTCTCGCTACATGCCCTTCTCCCCGTGCCATCACCATCCCACCTCTCTCCCTCTCTGCAGCTTCTTCTCGGGTCCCGATCCCCGTCTGCTGCGGGCGGCCTTCAACGTCTTCATGCACCGCCTCATCGTCGCATGCCCTTCTCCCCACATTTCTCACATGCCACACCCATCCCACCACCCACCTCTGCCCATGCCATCCGTGTCCCAGTCCCACTATCCTATCACTGCACCTCTCTGCAGCTCCTTCTCATGTCCCAATGCCCATTTACTGCGTGCGGCCGTCAATGCCTTTCTGGACTCGCTTATCCTCACATGCGCTTCTTACCCCATTCTCCTGAGCCACGATGTCCCACCAACCCGTCACTCCACCCCCCCCACCCCCTCTCCTATGCAGCTCCTTCTCGTGCCCCGATGCCCGTCTCCTGCGGGCGGCATTCAATGCCTTCATGGACTCGCTCATCCTCGCTGCGTGCACCATCGAGGCCTTTGGCCCGCCTCCTCCCTCGCAACAACCATGCCTGCAATGATACCAGTGTATGGCCCATCCTATCCCATCCCATCCCATCCCATCCCATCCCATTCCATCCCATCCCATCCCATCCCATTCCATCCCATCCCATCCCATCCCATCCCATCCCATCCCATCCCATCCCATCCCATCCCATCCCATCCCATCCCATCCCATCCCATCCCATCCCATCCCATCCCATCCCATCCCATCCCATCCCATCCCATCCCATCCCATCCCATCCCATCCCATCCCATCCCATCCCAACCTATCCCATCCCATCCCATCCCTTCCCATCTCATCCCCATCCCATCCCATCCCGTCCCATCCCAACCTATCCCATCCCAACCCATCCCATCCCAACCTATCCAATCTCAACCCATCCCATCCTGCCCCGTCCAATCCAATCCCATTCCGTCTCATTGCAGTGCTGTTTCCTCCCCGTCCCATCCCATCTGTTAGCTGTTGCCATCCCGCTTGCCATCCCACTTGCCATCTCAGTTGCTTCATCACTGGTCAGACAGGGCAGCTGGTTACCATCACCACACTCGTGGAAATTGAGCACGCTCCCTTTTGAGTCGACTCAAAAGTCAGCTGGTTACCATCACCACACTCGTAGAAATTGAGCACGCTCCCATTCCAAGCATTTAGCGCTTTTCTCCTCCTCTACTTCCTTTCATTCACCCTCTCGCCTTTTCTCCCTTATCCCAACACCGCTCCCGATTCTCACTCCTCCCTCACTTCCTTCACCTCCCCATTCGGGATTTCTTCATTCCACAAACGCTCTCTTTCTTTGTTTCCCTCTATACGAGGCTCCGTGGCACATCATTCCACCCAGTATCTTGCTTCTGCTAGATGACCCTGAACGCATGCACGGATGCATCATGCACCCGTATACTCATGTACCCACATACTCACGCACCCATGCACCCATTTAACCATGCACCCACATATCCATGCACCGATGTAACCACTCACCCATGAACCCACGCACCCATGCACTCATACAACCATGCACTCACATACCCATGCATCCACATACCCATGTGCACATGTGTACATGCGCACATCTAGGCATGCATCCATGCAGACATGTACCCATGTACCTATGCACACATGTACCGACCATTGCACTCATGTACTCATGCACACGTGTACTAACCGACGCATTCATGTACCCTTACACTCATGCACATGTGTAACCATGTAACCCCATGCAGGCATGTGGTGGAGGTACCAAGTGTCATCATGTTCAATACGGTACATGTATCCTCAGAAGTAGCTTGGGGTTGTTCCAATAGTTAGCACGCTACATATGCTCAAAACATGTCCCTTCGAGATGCCCTGGTTCAATCTTTGCTGGATTCTGCCCCAGCTGAGGTTCTCAATCAACCCTTGTATCAGAATCATTCCTAAGAACAAGAAACAGCGCTTGATGATCCTTCCATGCAAGCTTACAGTATTGTGAGTTCCTTTCACACAAAAAACCTGCTGTTTCAGTAATGATCCTGTGTTTTAGTTCTGTGGTTGCTAGCAAGCTGCATTGCTTGCATGGAAATGAACTTTGGAGATTGAGTAATGAAATTGCAGATTAAAGTATTACTCATAGAGCATAGCTACTGCAATAAACATAACCTAGTAGTAATATACAGTGTACATGGTTCCTACTCTGCATCGCATATTCCCAACAGCAGCTGGGAGCGGTTCCATGGTCACCCAATGTTTCAGCACACCCTTCAGTGTTGTACCAGTGTATGCACAGCCCATGTTACTCTGGGTGTTCTCACTATGACAGCAGTCATTCACTGCACCGAGGGCTCTTTCAGGAGCTCCTTCTGTGTACCCTGCTGCTGTTGCTGCTGCAGCCTGGCCTCGCCTGCCTCTCATGCACCAAACCCTCTCTCCTCCCCGCCTGCTGCTTCACCCCCTCCCTGCCACACACGCCACTTGCCACTGCACCTGCTGCCTTCACACCACCCTGCCTTCCACCTGCTGCCCTCCCTGCTGCTCCCTCCCCACACCCACCCTCCTCTCTCCTCTTCACCCCACTCGCCTGCCTGCTGCTGGCCTTGCCAGCTGCTCTCACTGATGATGCACCACCACGTGATCCCGCAACTGCTGCTGCTGCTGCACGTGGGCCAGAGACTGCAGGCTTGCTGCTGCCCTTGCCACCCTTCACACCAGTGGTCACCGCCTCGCTGCTGCACCCAATCTTGCCCTTCACGGTTTCACCCCCCACCTTGCACCTTGCTGCAACAGCAGGTCTTGACTCCTGTGCCACTGGTGAAGCTCCTCTCACTGGTGATGCCACAACATGTAATTTTACAATTGTTGCTGATGCTGCAGAGGGAGTAGCTGGTGCTGCGGACTCTGCTACAGTCGCTGCAGCTGCAGATACAGGAGGAACTGTTTTACCAGGCGCGATCCAGGCAGGAAGGCAGGCTTCAATGGCGGCTTCAATGTCTCTTGCCCACGTCGCCTGGTCCAGCTTAGCCCATCTCAGGTAAGCAGCACGTGCTCTCACCTTTGTCATTTCAATATCCATTGCACGAACCTCCTGACGCAGCTTCTCCCATCTGGCTTTCTGCTCACTCGGATCAGCAGATCCCTTGGACATTGCTTCTGTTGTCACAGACGCTTCAGCCACCTGTGGTGTGGTTGAAGCCACTGGAGCCACAGGCGCTACCTCAGGCACCACCACAGGCGCAACCACAGCAGATGGAGTGACTGCAGCAGCAGCAGCAGCAGTGACGACCACAGGTGCAAGCGCGGCAGCAGCAGGCTTGCCTCCGAAGCGGCCGATTCCAGGCCGCGTCACATCAGGTGCGACAGGTACATGCACCCTGGAGGGCTTGTTCTGGCCGTCAGGGAGGTGCTTCGCCAAATTTTCCAGCAGCGGCCTCACGCTCTTCAGAAGCACGCTGCTGGAGTACGTCTCAACGTCGTCGTTGCAAGCAGCAGGCTTGGCAGGAGAGTAACTTACAGGCGAGAAAACGGTTCGCGGGGTTCCGAACCTGCCAATGCCTCTCGTAGGCGTTGCAGGACTGCTCGAGGTTTGAGAAACCGAGTTAACAGTGCAGATATCAGCAAGAGAGGCCATGTTACTTGACTACAGATCGCTGAACAGAAACTGATCGCTGGAGACAGGCTGATTTCAGAAAAGTTTATTGACTGCTGATCGACAGAGCGGCAGAGGAAGTGGGAATGAGAAGTTCCAACTGTAGCGACCCCATTTCAACTTGCATTCCGTCCTCGCCCGCACAAACCCCCGCCTCCAAGCCTAGATGCCTCGTCTGCCTCATCATTGGAGTTCCAGGTTCGGCTGCGTCGCTGTCTACTCGTTAACGCGCCACGTCACTCGAATCGAACGGTGGAAAAACTAGGAGCTAGTAGGTGTGGACGGATTTCAAAGAGTCTTTTTCTGGGGTTCAGGTTCGGGAAATTTGTGGCGTCGCGTCAGGCGAAATCAGCGGATTGGGAGGCTTGCGGACATTCTCGCTGTGTCGGTGAGTTTCAAGTTCGTGGGTCCGTCGAGGCGCGTGACCATTTTCCCGCCACTCTTTCGCACAAGATTCCTAGCCGTTTCTGGACGCTTTTGTAACAAGAGGGATATACACTGTTCGCAAGATAATCGTTCATCGCCATAAAATGCGTTTTCAGGGATTATCGTGGTGGCTGAGGAAACGCGGGGCTGTGGGACTACTCGCCTGCCAGATTCGGATCAGCAGCCATTGGGATTGACGTCTGTGTGGTGTGGTGGAGATTTGAATGGAGAAGGATTTGTGTTGTACTCCGTAAAAGAATGCTGTTTGCATTGTCCGAAACACATAGCGACACGGCAACAATCATTGGAAAAGTAAAATCCTTGAAAAGGAGGAGATTTTCACAAAAAGGAGCTTTGTGTGCTGGACCAGCACTTTCACATACGAAAAAATCTGTCAGTTCTTCCAAATTCTTTAGAGAATATGAGATCTATACCGGTATCTCAAAGGAATGTACGGTAGATTGCCATGTTGGTAACCTCATTTAGCCATGCGCATGAAGATTTCGCTCGTCAGTACGACCACATAAGATCATCCTGAAATGAAACATCACATTGTTCGTACAAAGGTCCCATAAGGATCTTGCCAATTCGTAAGTGGTTTTTATTCTCATTTCACGGGAATAGAATATCAAACATGCTGAGCTGAACTCATTTAAAAAAAAAAAAAAAGGAAGGGTCGAAATGAAAGGACTTCACATAAGACAAATCACATCAATCTGGTCTGCAATACTGCAACCTTAGGGCCTGACCTGCATCCAAAGGGCACTCAAGTGGGACCAAACGCAGACCAGAACGACCCTGCAGTGGCAGCCTGCTGTTGCTGCTGCTGGCGGGTGATGTAGTCCACGACATGAGGCACAGACCCCATGACCACCACCCTGCCGCCATCCATGTATGCCGCCCCGTCTGCAAACTGTAGCTCCTCCAGCCGATGCGTCACCCACAGCGCTGTCACCCTCCGCCCCCCCCGCCCCCTGCTGCTGCTGCTGCTGCTGCTGCTGCTGTTGCTGCCTGAGCTACTGTCTGTGTTGCTTTGAGCAGTGGTGACGCTGCCTGGGGAACTGCCCGATACCACATTGCGCACCGCCTTGATGACTGCGTACTGTGGTGGGAGATAGGGAGAGGAGCACGAGGGAACAGCAAGAGAAACAGAGCAAAAGAGGAATGATGACACATGCTGCAGTGACGCATGTTGCACACTGCAGTGACGCATGTTGCACGCTGCAGTGACGCATGTTGCACGCTGCAGTGACGCATGTTGCACGCTGCAGTGACGCATGTTGCATGCTGCAGTAACGCATGCCAAATACTCGATAGACAGACTCTGCAATTGGAGCCACTCAGGCCCCCAGACAACCAATATAGAAGTATTTCAATTTCAATAGCTTCTGAGTGCCAAAAGCTTCTGAATTGCTGAGAGGCACACAGAAATTCCAAATGGTCCCTGCTTGATTTGAGAATGCCCATCGAGGAAAGCATGCAAGAAGCACTAAGGAGGAGAGGCGGAGGGGATGTGGAGTCGAGGAAGGTGGTGGGTTCGTCCAGCAGCAGCGTGTGTGTGAGGGGATGCTCAGGAAAGCACAGAGAAAGCACAGAGGAGTTGGCAGGGAGGAAGCAGCAGGGAGGGAGGGGGTTTGACCTGGTCAGCGGAGTCAAGGAAGGTGGTGAGCTCGTCCAGCAGCAGCGTGTGTGAATCCTCCGCCAGTGCCCCTGCGATCGCCACCCTCTGCTTCTGCCCCCCACTCAGTGTTGACACCAGTCGCTGGTGGGGAGGTTCGTGCAAGAGGAGGGGAACAGGAGGGGAACAGGAGGGGAACAGGAGGGGAACAGGAGAGGAACAGGAGGGGAAGAGGAGGGGAAGAGGAGGGGAAGAGGAGGGGAAGAGGAGGGGAAGAGGAGGGGAAGAGGAGGGGAAGAGGAGGGGAAGAGGGACGAAGAAGCATTGGAGTAGGGATCAGCAGTCCTCTCAGTGCCTGCCTCGCAACACAGTCTGCACCTTTCGGCACTGTGCGTGCCTTCAACTTGCTATGACCACCATGTGGACTCCCATAAGTTCCACTGGTTTCGCTGACCAACCCCCGCTTGTAAGCTTGGTCGTGCTGGACCCTGCACAGCTCGCACACTGCACCGCTCAGCACCGCTCTCCATGACCTTCAGCCACCCCTTCACAGCAGCAGGTGGTTCCGGTGGCACTCACTTGCGTGTACTGCGCTGCGCAGATGCTCAGGCAGGCGGGCAAAACTCACCTGCCCGCACTCCTCTCACCTGCCTGCACTCCTCTCACCTGCCCGCACTCCTCTCACCTGCCCATACTCCGCCATCCCCACGGCCTCCAGGGCCTCTGCCACGCGCCGCTGCACCTCCTCCTCTGGCAGTGGTGGGTTCAGCCGCCCCAGCCCGAACGCCACGTCAGCATTCACAGTTGGCATGATGACCTGGCGGCAAAGGCCGAGTGGGTGGAGAGGTGGGTGAGAGAATTGAGAGGCGGTACGACAGCAGCAGGGGAATGGAAAGAGGACGGGAGGTGGAGAGCAGTGAAGATGAGAGCAGAACTTAAAAGGAGAAGACGAGTGAAAGTCTGGTATTACAAGGAGAAGCGGCGGTACGAGAGCATGTTAATAGTGATTCATCAAGGAGAAGCGACGATGCAACTAGCGCGGCTCTCACCTGGTAGTCACCTGAACTGAACCCACCTGGTGATCACCTGGCACCCACATGAACGCACCTGCTCGGCACCTGGTGGTCATCTGAACTCACCTGGTACTCACCTAAACTCCCCTGGTAGTCACCTGAACTCACCTGCTGGTCACCTGAATCCACCTGCTGGTCATCTGAACTCACCTGCTGGTCACCTGAACCCACCTGCTGGTCACCTGAACCCATCTGCTGGTCACCTGAACCCATCTGCTGGTCACCTGAACCCATCTGCTGGTCACCTGAACCCATCTGCTGGTCACCTGAACCCATCTGCTGGTCACCTGAACCCATTTGGTGGTCACCTGAACCCACCTGCTGGTCACCTGGCACCCATGTGGCACCCACCTGGCACCCACCTGGCACTCACCTGGTGGTCGGGGTTCTGGAAGACAAAGGAGCGAGGTGCATCCACTCGCAGCCGCCCACTGTTGGGCTGCAGCAGCCCAGCTAGTACCTGCTGGGGGGGAGGGGGGGACAGCACGGTGCAGAGCGGTGGAGCATGATGCAGAGAGGCGCATCCACTCGCAGCCGCCCACTGTTGGGCTGCAGCAGCCCCGCTAGTACCTGCTGGGCGCACAGCACGGTGCATGATACAGGGAGGTGGGGATTCCGTTGCTCGAGGCTAGGCAGCAAATGGGTGGGGCAGGAGGAGGGAGGAGATAGATATAATGAACCCGGGGGGGGGGGGGGGGGGGGGTAGGGAGGACAAAGGGAGGACCAGGCACAGGTAGGAAGCTGCTATTAGTGCATGGCCAAATCCGTATCGATGCCTCTTTCCGTACTTTGACCAGCGTTGACTTTCTTTCCCACCTTGACCAGCGTCGACTCACTCGCACCTTGACCAACGTTGACTCTTTCTCTCACCCACCTTGAGCAGCGTTGACTTGCCACACCCGTTTGGCCCCAGCAGCATCCACAGTTGTCCCTCAGGCACGCGCAGGCTACACTCGCGCAGCACCTGCGCGCAACGAGATTGAAGGATTTTAAGTGAAAGTGGGACTTAATAAGTCGCATTCGGAAAAAGAACCAGCAGTGCATCCACCACAGCTGCGCCTCGGCATGCGAAGGCTGCACTCGCGAAGGCTGCACTCGCGAAGGCTGCACTCGCGAAGGCCACACTCTCGATGCACCACCTGCGCGCGTCCCAGGCTCAGGCTCAGCCCCTCCACGTCGATCGCCGCGCGCCGCCCCGCGGGCCCCCCGCCCTCGCTCTCGTCGCCGCTGCTCGCCGCCGCGCTGCCCGCTGTCGCAGTGACAGTCGCCGTGCGACATCGGCGAACGAATGAGTTTCGCTCGGCGACGCGTGCGACGGAGATTGGAGAGAACGCGGAGGTGGACGGGGGGAGCGGGCAGGCAAGAGTGTGCTCGTGGCGGAGGAGAGCGGCGGCGGGAGCACATTGGGCGGAGATAGGATACGCGGAGGCGAGGTGCGCGGCGGCGACGAGCGGACGGTCCATAATGCAGCAGCGCGTACACGACGCGATACTGATGCTGCCTGGTTTAGCCGCGCATACCTATTTGCGGGGCACATTCACGAGTGGAAATTTGGACACGCTGCGTACGCGCTGTAGGGTTTGCAGGTTGTTCAAAATGGGTAACATGTAAATAAGCAAAACCCAACTTGGCATATCAGTGCTGTAGCATATATTCGCTTAGCGCTCGTTTGACGCGGTTCAGTGCGTTGAACCACATTTCAGAGCGGTTCCTTGTTTCACCGCTTTAGACCATCGCGGACCAGTTTGAAACTCACAAAATTATTTGTAAATGAACAAAAAACTTATGCCCTGAATGCCCCAGCTGACTTGTGCTCCAACAGCACAGAACCCACGGTTCGTTCTTGCTTGGCGCGTAAACTCGCGCCTCGCGTTCCAGGTAGTAGCCCGCAGAGCATATATAATTCGTTCCAGAACCAGATGACCGCGCATTCGTGTTAGCTCTGAGCGTGTATCGCACCCGCAAGTCGTGCCGGTTGCTACTAGGACCTGTTTCAGGAACCACTGAGGAGCCATCTCGTCGCTGTGCGTGTTTTTCCAAATCCACGCTGGTTCCCACGACCGACAGTTAAGGTCACCTCGTCTGCCTCGCTTCTTTGATTGGTTAGGGTTCGTTTCGCTCCTCCTTTCTTTCCGCCTCGCATTCTCGCCGCGTGGCAGCTTCCCGCCATGTCAGTGGCGGCAGGCGTCAGCGATGCGGCGATCGCGATTCGAGAGAAGCTTCGCGGAAGGATCGCGCAGACGAAGGTGAAGCGGTACTGGCCGGGAAAGGCGCCCGAATGGGCGGACGACGCGGAGGAGGCGCGCGGAGGCGTGTTCGGGGAACCGGAGGACGAGCGGGAGGAAATCGGCGACCGACTGACGCGCGTTAGGGTTTCCGAGAATGACGCGCGGTTGCGCCGATTAGGAGAGAGCCGGCGCGACAGGGAGGAGGCCGTGGCGCGGCATCGGGAGATCCGGGCGGCGGAGATTATCTCGACGCGGGAGGAGGAGGAGAGGAAGCAGCAGGAGCGCGAGGAGGAGGAGGAGGAAGAGGAGGATGAAGACGCGATCGAGGAGCGACGGCGGAGGATACGCGAGAGGCTATTACAGCGGCAGAGGGAAGAGGAGGAGCTAGCAGCGTTAGGGGAGGGCGAGGAGGAGGAGGAAGAGGAGGAAGAAGAGGAGGAATCTTCCGAGTATGAGACCGATTCGGAGGAGGAAGGGGGCGGTATGGCGATGATTAAGCCTGTTTTCGTTCCCAAGGGCGAGCGCGACACGGTTGCGGAGCGCGAGCGCGTGGAGCAGGAGGAGCGCGATTTAGAGGAGGCGGTGCGGCGGCGCGTGGAGGAGCGCAAGGCGGAGACGCGGCGGCTCGTGGTGGACGACGTGCGGCGCGAGGAGGAGAAGGAGCAGCGGCGCGCGGAGGATGGCGGCGGCGGCGCGGACGGGGACGGCGCGGGGGCGGCGGCGGAGGACGTGGAGACGGACGACGAGACGGACGCGGAGGAGGAGTTCGAGCGGTGGCGCGCGCGCGAGAAGGCGCGCGTGCGGCGGGAGCGCGAGGAGCGCGAGGCCGTCGCGCGGGAGAAAGAAGAACGCGAGCGGCTGGCGCGGATGACCGAGGAGGAGCGGCGGGAGTGGGAGCGGCGCAACCCCAAGGCTGCGCCCGCGGGCAGGACGAAAACAAAATGGAAGTTCATGCAGAAGTACTACCACAAGGGCGCGTTCTTCCAGGCGGGCGCGGACGACAAGGGCGGCACGGCCGGCACGGACGAGATCTATGCGCGGGATTACTCGGAGGCCACTGGGGAGGACCGGCTGGATAAGAGCGTGCTGCCCTCCGCCATGCAGGTGAGTGGCGTTGGCCAGGTGGGTGGGGGGAGGGCATGAGGTGCGTGCAGGTGGGCGCGCTGCCTGGTGTTGGTTGGTAGTACTTGGGCCAACTGGAGAGGACCGGCTGGATAAGAGCGTGCTGCCCTCCGCCATGCAGGTGAGTGGGGGGGTGATGGTGGTGGGGCTGGTTGGGGTTGGGGTTGGGGGGAGGTGTGATCGTGAGAAATGGTGGGGGGTTGGTGGTACATGATGGGGAGTGAATGAGGTGCCACTGTCGTTTCATTTCCTTCCCTCCCCCACCATCTTAAATCTCTTGTCTCCTTGCCATGTGTCCCCATGTGTCCGTGTGCCTTGCTGTGCTGTGCTGTGTGGTGCTGTGCTGTGGAGAGCAGGTGAAGCACTTTGGCCACAGTGGGAGGAGCAAGTGGACGCATCTGGTGAACGAGGACACCACGCAGCAGGACTCCCCGTTAGTACCTCCTGCCCTCAATCCCACTCCCCCTGCCCATACTTCCCCTGCCCCTACTCCCTCTGCCTCTACTTCCCTGCCCTACTCCCCCTGGCCCCATCCTCTGCCCCCACTCCCTTTCCCCATCCCCTATCCGCTTCACTCTCCATCATTGAGCGTAGAGTATTTCAGTCGGTTTGCTTCATTTCAGATCTTTAGTCTCAGGCCTGTACTGTACTGATGAAGGCTTGCAAAAGCCGAAACTAGTTGCAATGTTCCTGATCCTTAAGTGAAGAATTGATTCAATCTGGCTCTCTTAACAACATTCTAAGCTAGCGCACAACCAGGCTCCTAATACAGCAAGAGTTGATGGAAGTTAGGCCTTCGCAGCCCACCTGTAATCTCTTGACATCCCCTATCCGCTTCACTCTCTATCATTGCTTCCGCGTTCCGTACATGCTTGCTTTCGACCTTTGAACCATTGCTCATGCATGTATCTCCCCCCTCAACCCCACACTACCCCACCACCACCCCCCTCTTTCCCCCCTGGCAGGTGGTTATACAACGATGCACTGAGGGCGCGCTACAACAACAAGATGACAGGGATGGACAAGGGCCGGCTCACTCAGTACTCTCACACCACTCTCTGCTCTCACACCACTCCCTGCTCTCCCCGCTCGCCATCTCTCTTCCCCCCCCCTCTTAGGTGGGGATACAACGATGCACTTAGGGTGCGCTATCACAACAAGAAGGCGGGATGGACAAGCCGCTGGAGAAACCCAAGGGGGCACACACTCATGTCTCCTATGCCTCATGTCTCACATGTCTGTGCCCCTTCCCCTCTGTCTGCCAGGTGGGCGTACAACGACGCGTTACGAGCGAGGTACAACAACAAGATGGCGGGGATGGACAAGCCACTGGAGAAGCCCAAAGGCAGCAAGAAGCTCAAGAACGCGCTGCAGAAACCGTGAGGTTCAAGTTGCACACTGCGCTGCTCGTTTCGGTCAGTCGTGAAGCGCATCTCGTGTGTGCGCTGCTGTTTGGAACCCAACTCAGAATTCAGGAGCCACTGGAGAAGCCCGCCCAAGGGCAGCTGAAGGCTCAGTGTGAGGCTCAATCGAGAGCCACTCTGCCCTGCTTGGCTTTGGGCCAGTCGGGGCGTGGCGGGTCATGCTTGATTTGCTGCATAATGTGCCGCATTTGTTACCGGTATCTGCCTCTGCTGCTTGTTTGTTTTACCTGTAGTGCTCTGCCTTTCTTTGTGCCCTGGTGAGTTGTTGCTCTGCTGTTTTATTGAGCTGGCTCTTTCTTCCTATAACAGCACATACAGTATGTCGATCCATTGCAAGCTTTCAGCACCACATCTGTTGCAATGCAATTGACCGCATCACCTCTTGCATATAGAGAAAATGAATCAGCAAGCTAAGGCAATGTCACTCACAACTGATAAGCAATTAATTGCTTCAAGTACCACCTAACGAAATCCTACGGTGGACCCAGCAGTGTTAATCAGGAGAAATTGTGTGCACAGCAAGAAGGCAGTGCTGTGCACGCAGGAAGCAAGCTAGGTGACCAACAGAGGCGGCGAGAAGCTGAGGTGCAAGAGGCAAGAGGTGAATCAGGCTGCAGGTCTTGGAATTGGCACCAGGACTATCTTTTACGCGCCTCATTCGAGGTGGGGAGGGGTTAGTCTTCGAACCAGCTGACGACGGCTCGCGTGGCGGAGGCAATGAGGGAGGGGATGAGGACGAAGAAGGTGATGAAGGCGAAGGCGGTGGCGGCCTTGGTGCGCGCACAGAAGCTGGAGAAGAGCCCCATCTGCACGGGCGTGGGGAGCAGAAAAGTGGGGCATGCAGGCAGGCAGGTAAGAGGCGGACAGGCAGGTAGGGGAAAGCGGGGCAGAGCACAGGTGGCGGCGGCCTTGGTGCGCGCACAGAAGCTGGAGAAGAGCCCCTCAGCAGCACAGAGATGACGTGCAGGGGAGGACGGAGAGGCAGGCGGGCATGCAGACAAGCGGGGGAGGGCAGTGAATGCAGGTTGGATAAAGGCAAAGGCAGTGGCGGCCTTGGTGCGCGCACAGAAGCTGGAGAAGAGACCCATGTGCAGCACAGGGGCAGGGAAGGTGGGGCAAGCAGGCAAGTCAGAGGCAGGCAGGCAGGTAGGTAGAGGAGGGCAGTGCATGCAGGTAAGATGGGTCAAGGCAAAGGTGGTGGCGGCCTTGGTGCGCGCACAGAAGCTGGAGAAGAGACCCATGTGCACTCAGACAGTGCGCAGATGGGAACGCGGGACGCAGGAGCAGTGATGCACGCATGCACAGAAGCAAGAGAGATCAGAGCAGTGCTTGCAACTTGAAAGAAGAGAGGTGTGTGGAAGAGAGGTGCGTGGAAGAGAGGTGTGTGGAAGAGAGGTGTGTGGAAGAGAGGTGTGTGGAAGAGAGGTGTGTGGAAGAGAGGTGTGTGGAAGAGAGGTGTGTGGAAGAGAGGTGTGTAGAAGAGAGGTGTGTAGAAGAGAGGTGTGTGGAAGAGAGGTGTGTGGAAGAGAGGTGTGTGGAAGAGAGGTGTGTGGAAGAGAGGTGTGTGGAAGAGAGGTGTGTGGAAGAGAGGTGTGTGGAAGAGAGGTGTGTGGAAGAGAGGTGTGTAGAAGAGAGGTGTGTGAAAGAGAGGTGTGTGGAAGAGAGGTGTGTGGAAGAGAGGTGTGTGGAAGAGAGGTGTGTGGAAGAGAGGTGTGTGGAAGAGAGGTGTGTGGAAGAGAGGTGTGGAAGAGAGGTGTGTAGAAGAGAGGTGTGTGAAAGAGAGGTGTGTGGAAGAGAGGTGTGTGGAAGAGAGGTGTGTGGAAGAGAGGTGTGTGGAAGAGAGGTGTGTGATCGCCTGCACGACCTTCCTTGCAACTTGAAAGAGAGAGGAAGATCGTGCAGCCGATGTGAGAGGTGTGTGGAAGAGTAGTCAACAGACCAGTCTGAGGACCAACAGACCAGTCGGAGGACCAACAGACCAGTCTGAGGACCAACAGACCAGTCTGAGGACCAACAGACCAGTCTGAGGACCAACAGACCAGTCTGAGGACCAACAGACCGGTCGGAGGACCAACAGACCGGTCGGAGGACCAACAGACCAGTCGGAGGACCAAGAAGTTACGGCAAGCAGCAGTCACTGGGAGCGCAAAGCTGATCCCACAGTCGCTTTGTGCTGTCCCTTTGATTGTAAATTGGGTTATCCCACTGATTTCTAGTGTAAAAATGAGTGATGTCTCTTATATTCAGCCCAAGTGAGGCCGTGGGGGAGCCCACCTGGCAGTACCCCGGCTGCACCATCCCTGATCCCTTGTCGGCAAAGGTGGTGAGACCCGCTGCAGCAGAGGCGCCAGCGAGAGCGATCCACGCCACCACCTGATTGGAGGACAAGGGGGGGGGGATGTTGGACGGATGTGGTATAGGGAGTGAGGGTGTGAACTAGGAGGTGATGCCAGGCAACTGGTGAGTTGATTGAAGAAGTGTTTTGAGACGTCTCAAAACACTTCTTCAATCACGAGCCATGCAACTGGTGAGTTGATTCAAAAGTCACCACGGCACCAGCTGCTTGCAGCATAGCAAAGTACACGGTGGGTGCATGTGGCACAGGCAGTGGGAGTGTGATGCAGCAGGTGACGTCAGGCACAGGTGACGATGGAAGGCTTGAGAGTTCATTATGCTTGTATCCTCATGCATAACGGTAGGGGGATGGGATGCAACGGCAATGGCGTGCGTGCGCTGCGACGAGAGAAAGCTGGGCAAGGAGTCACAAATAATGGACAGCGAAAGCGACAGCTGGAGGGGGGAATGGGAGAGGTGGAGGCAAGCAGGGGACGATGGTGCGAGGAGGGTGGCACTTTTGAGAATTCTCAAAAGGAGGGTGGCACTTTAGAGAATTCTCAAAAGGAGGGTGGCACTTTTGAGAATTCTCAAAAGGAGGGTGGCAATGGCGTGCAGGGCGAGAGGAAGGGGCAGCACAGCACGCAGGGCGAAGGAGGGGCAAAAAACAGTGTGTGAGATGGGGGAGAGAAAGTGGTGGTACTAACGAAGTCAAGGAGGGCGAAGAGGGTGATGCGCCACTTGCGGGTCATGAAGCGACCGATGGAGTGGGGTGACTTTTGAGCCGACTCAAAAGCCACTTGGAAAAGGCGCCACTTACGAAGTCGAGGAAGGCGAAGAGGGTGATGCGCCACTTGCGGGTCATGAAGCGACCGATGGAGTGGGGTGACTTTTGAGTCGACTCAAAAGCCACTTGGAAAAGGCGCCACTTACGAAGTCGAGGAAGGCGAAGAGGGTGATGCGCCACTTGCGGGTCATGAAGCGACCGATGGAGTGGGGTGACTTTTGAGTCGACTCAAAAGCCACTTGGAAAAGGCGCAACTTACGAAGTCGAGGAAGGCGAAGAGGGTGATGCGCCACTTGCGGGTCATGAAGCGACCGATGGAGTGGGGTGACTTTTGAGTCGACTCAAAAGCCACTTGGAAAAGGCGCAACTTACGAAGTCGAGGAAGGCGAAGAGGGTGATGCGCCACTTGCGGGTCATGAAGCGACCAATGGAGTGGGGTGACTTTTGAGTCGACTCAAAAGCCACTTGGAAAAGGCGCAACTTACGAAGTCGAGGAAGGCGAAGAGGGTGATGCGCCACTTGCGGGTCATGAAGCGACCGATGGAGTGGGGTGACTTTTGAGTCGACTCAAAAGCCACTTGGAAAAGGCGCAACTTACGAAGTCGAGGAAGGCGAAGAGGGTGATGCGCCACTTGCGGGTCATGAAGCGACCGATGGAGTGGGGTGACTTTTGAGTCGACTCAAAAGCCACTTGGAAAAGGCGCCACTTACGAAGTCGAGGAAGGCGAAGAGGGTGATGCGCCACTTGCGCGTCATGAAGCGACCGATGGAGTGCAGCAGATGGGCGAGGGACCACGCTGCCACCGCTGTCATCGCCGCCACCATGAATATGAACGCCTGAGTGTGACGGGGAGGTAGCGAGGGTGGAGCGAAGCAAGAAAGCGAGAGATGGCCTTGGCATGGCACGCCTCAAAATTGGTGAGACACCAGCCGCCACCATGCAAAAGAACGACGTACGGGGTGTTTGCAGAAAGGAGGGGGGAGAGGGGGAAGGCAGGCAGTGGCAGTGTGGGTGGGCGGTGCTATGGTGCACGCCGCACGGTGAGTGACAGATGCTTGACAGGGTTGGTGGGGACAGCACTTTTTTTTTTTTTTTTTGGCTTGTTCGGTGGGGACAGCACAGCCAGCAAAGGATGTGTGTGTGCATCGAACGGATTCTTTTTCCATTGCAGTGGTTGGCATGTGGTCGCAAACGCAACACTGCAGCAACACACCATATCATCTACACATGCTATGCACCACCCACGTGGCAGTACCAAGCTCACCTGGCAGCATCAGGCTGACCTGGCATTACAGAGCTGTGGCAGCAGCAGCATGCACCTGGTAGTATTGGAAGTACATGCCGCTGGCACTGGACGCAGTAATGACTCCCAGAGCAATGACAGCTGTCGCCAGCTGTAGCGCCAACCAACCCACCAACAGCACCGGCACTAGCAGCAGGGGCACGAGCAGCAGGGGGTACTAGCACAGACGCACCTGGTAGTATTGGAAGTACATGCCGTTGGCGTTAGAGGCGGTCATGACTCCCAGGGCGATGACAGCTGTCGCCAGCTGTAGCAGCCGCCAGAAGATGGTCTGCCCGCGCGCAAAGATCCGAGTCTCGCCGCCCAGCCCGCCGCCCATCTCCGCCAGCTTCTCCGAGCGAGCTGATTGGACGGGATTGGGGGAAGAAAGAGAGAGAGAGCGGCACGTGGGCGGGCGGAGGGCAAAGGGGCGATGGCAAATGAGCGGCGGAAAGGTGAACGGTGATGTTGCTTCTCCGAAGGAGATGATGGGATGGGAGTCGAAGAGCCAGGTTGAAAACGAATTCCAGGCTGGGAGGCTGGGATGGCAGAGCGAGAGCGTTGATTGAAAGAGAGAGAGCGGCAAGTGGGGGAGCGGAGGGCGGCAGGAGGGAGGGAGTGAAGGTCCGAAGTCTGGGGGATTGCATAAAAGGAAGATGACAGATAAGATGAAGAGGGCTTGAGGGCAGCAAAGGGTTGGTGACAGGGTGCATGGTGGGTGGGATGCAAATGAGGGAGGTGAGGGGTTGTGTGGGATGCTGTGGGATGCTGTGGGATGCTGTGGGATGCTGTGAGGGAATGATTGCACTGGGGGAGGGAGAGAGGCGATGGGTCGTGGAGGCGAGACGATGCAGTGTGGTGGTGGAAAGGAGGCAGGCAGGGCAAGGGAGGAAGGAGTGAGTCAAGGGATGCACGCGAACAGATGGCGGAAGAAAAACAGCTTGGCGTGCATGCAGCGAATGAGTTGAGTGAGCTTTATGAGTTTTAGCCTTGTATCGCCGTATTCTTTAGCGCACACACCCACTCACACGTGCTGAGAGCACGTATTTACTACAACCTCAACCACTGCCTACCGTACCAGCAGTTGTGCTGCCGTCGCCTTGTTACAGGCGCCGCTCGTGCTACCAGGTTACCAGGTTACCAGCCTCCCCAAGGCTTGGCGTCAAGTCAACTCACTCGCGGGGCGACCTGCGGCCTGGCGTGGCGGGGACCCTCCTACAGTGCCACGTGGCGGCGACCCTCCTACCGCGCCACGTGGCGGCGAGCCTGCTGACGTGGACAGCGGAATGGGTCCGCTTGGCTGCTGACCCCCTTCCTCCAGTATCCCTCGCCGGCCTAGTGACGTGTCATACGCCGCCATGTCCGCTGCTCCGTGTTATCCCTCTCTGCTCTCCGCGCTAGCCTGCTATCACTTTCAAGAATAGTTAAAAGTTATATCTACAAGGCTGATAGGGCCGCAGCACGAGAAGCGATGGCTCAGCGAGAATACGACAGGGAAGGGAGCGATTTAGGCAAGTCGAAGGGAAGAAGAGCGTGACGAGGGACTAGCGAATGCCATTGGTTGTTGAAGGGGGCATAACACGGTGACGGCTGGAGGTGCGACGAGAAAGAGCTCGCTCGACAGAATTGCGCGCAGGCACGAGATGCGCGCGTGACGGCGTCTGCCGGGGAACGAGGAGGCGGTAATGCGCGCGGCGGTGTGGCATGAGGCGGCGCGCGAGGGCTGGCGAGGGATACGCGCGACGAGCCCGCAGGAGGGAGAAGGAAGCTTGGGCTTCCCCGCTCTCGTCGAGCATTTCGCGAGGCGCGCGGGAGAGGGCGGAGGGCATTCTGGCGGGAAAAAAAATATTGCCAGGATGAGGCGGAGGTGCGAGGAGGTGCGGAGAGGGGGAAGGGTGTGGGGGTCAGGCGGCAGAGCAGAGCGAGGGGGGTGGGCATTACGCCAGCTGGAGTGGCAGCGAGGGAGCGCCGCGTGGTGCGCGGAAAGAGGTATCGCGGTGTGGCGTGCGGGGTCGCCGAGACGTGCATGCATCCCCCCTTGCGGTCGCTCCCAGGATCAATGACAGGCCGAGATGACCCCCTGCAATCCAGGCGGCGACGCGAATGCGCAGGTTGTAGAGAGCATCGGAATTTGGTATAGCATGTGCATTTGGCATTTGTTAAGAAACAATACACTACAGTAAATTAACAGCTTATATATACAACGTTCACAAGAGAATGTAAGGTTATAGTTCACGCGACTAGCAGCTGCAGCGCGCGGTCGCGGTCGTTGCCACAGAGCGCCAGACAGCCTGCAACAGCGACCGGGTCAAAACCCATCTCTCTTAGCAACGTGTATGCATTGCAGAAATCCACCACCTGGGAGCATGGGGGCGACAAGCCCGGGCACAGGCAGAACAAGGGGCAGTGGTGAAACGGAGGACACAGGATGGTTTGTGAAAGTCGCAGAAGAATTAACAGCTCTGGAAGTTTGCATGATGTATGCGTAAAAATTAACAGCCAGCCGCTAACTAGACGCATGCATGCAGTCCCATGGGAAGCAAGCAGGGAGGTGTAAAGCGGGGACGTGCTCCTCCTCTACCCACCTGACTTTTGAGTCGACTCAAAAGTCACCTTGTAAAGCGGGGACGTGCTCCTCCTCTGCCCACCTGTGAGTGCGAGTCGCCGTGCATGGCCAGTGCCATGATGACTGCCTCCCTGTCCATGCCTATCTGTATGTACTTGCTGGCACGTGGATCCACCTGGAGAGATGATATGAGATGAGATGAGATGAGAGGAGAGGAGAGGAGAGGAGAGGAGAGGAGAGGAGAGGAGAGGAGGAGATGAGATGAGATGAGATGAGATGAGATGAGATGAGATGAGATGAGATGAGATGAGATGAGATGAGATGAGATGAGATGAGATGAGATGAGATGAGATGAGAGGAGAGGAGAGGAGAGGAGATGAGATGAGATGAGATGAGATGAGATGAGATGAGATGAGATGAGATGAGATGAGATGAGATGAGATGAGATGAGATGAGATGAGATGAGATGAGATGAGATGAGAGGGAGGAGAGGAGAGGAGAGGAGAGGAGATGAGATGAGATGAGATGAGATGAGATGAGATGAGATGAGATGAGATGAGATGAGATGAGATGAGATGAGATGAGATGAGATGAGATGAGATGAGATGAGATGAGATGAGATGAGATGAGATGAGATGAGATGAGATGAGATGAGATGAGATGAGATGAGATGAGATGAGATGAGATGAGATGAGATGAGATGAGATGAGATGAGATGAGATGAGAGGAGAGGAGATGAGATGAGATGAGATGAGATGAGATGAGATGAGATGAGATGAGATGAGATGAGATGAGATGAGATGAGATGAGATGAGACACGAAGAGGAACAGGGCAGGGGATGGGGGGCACAGGGAGGCGTTGGTGGGTGGGTGATTGTGATCGCCTTCCTGTCCATGCCCATCTGAATGTTCTTGCTGCCCCGTAGATCCACCTGTAATGGTATGTGGGGAGGGGAGGAGGGAGCATGGGCAGGGGATAGGGGTGGGGCGGGGGAGGGAAGGGAAGTACGTGGTAGAATTACGACCCCTGTCCACGCCCATGCGCACGTACTTGCTGGCCCGAGGGACCAACCAAAGGGGATGGGACACGGGCAGGCATGGGCAGAGCGCGGAGGGCAGAGGGCAGAGGGCAGAGCGCGGAGGGCAGAGGGCAGAGGGCAGAGCGCGGAGGGCAGAGGGCAGAGGGCAGAGGGCAGAGGGCAGAGGGCAGAGGGCAGAGGGCAGAGGGCAGAGGGCAGAGGGCAGAGGGCAGAGAGCAGGTGGATGGGGGTAGGGGGTAGGAGGGAGTGGGGTTGAGAGACGGGAGGTGGACGGAAAGGGAAGTGAGGGAAGGGGAGGTGGTAGCGATTATTGAGGTACTTAGTGGCTCATAGTGCCATCCATGGGAATCATCCCTTTGAGGCAAAGGGGCAGTCGTGGGGCGAGAGAGAAGAGGAGAGGGGACACAGGGGAGGTGAGGCAGAGTGAGGGAGGAAGGGCTAGGCGACTAGCTGCCTGCACTTGCCCTTGCTGCAGCATATCTTCACCCTCACGCTTCGCCGCTACGCAGGTGCGCGGGTGCAGCGCGTATCCTCTCCCCATACCCCCACCCCACCTCTCGCATCAAAATCTGTCCTTTCACTACAGCCCCACCTCTCGCGTGACAGCCACGCTAGTGCAGCGCGGAGGCCTCTGAGAACAGCTGCCCCTGTGTTCTGAGTCGCTTCAACGCACACAGAGGTACCTACTATGCAACTACCTGTCTTCACGGCCCCACCTCTCGCTTCACGCCCAGGCCACGATGGTAGTGTGCTGGTGCAACGCCGAGCCTCTCTCCCCATACCCCTACTTCTCGCTTCACCACTATGTAACTAGCTATTCATGCCCCACCCACACACTCACCTCTCGCTTCACGGCCACGCTAGTGCGCTGGTGCAGCGCCGACGCCTCTGAGAGCAGCTGCCTCTCCACGTCAAAGTCAAACGCCGCTGCGCTCACCGGCACCGCCTGCACTGGCGCTAGAGGGGGCTGCTGTGAGCAGGCGACACAGGGTGGAGAGGGATAGGCTATTGAGTTGACTCGGACTCAAACGTCATGTCAACAGCAGCTGGTTCTCCGCGTCAAAGTCAAACGCCGCTGCGCTCACTGCCCCCGCCTGCACTGGCGCTAGCGGGGGCGGCTGCGGGGAGAAAATGGGTGGAGAGGGGGAGAGGGGGAGAGGGGGAGAGGGGGAGAGGGGGGAGGTGATGACAGGCAGGTAGGGTAGCATTAGAGAGAAGAGAGCGGCAAGCGGATATGGGAACATGGAGCTAATATGAGCAGCGGAAGGAGAAAGTTGGAAAGAAAACGGGGGCGAAAGGAGATTGACGAATGAAGGGAGGTGAAGCGGAGCAGTGAGAAGGTGGGAGGCGCGAAGAGGTGGAGGGAGGGGCGAGCGGGAGATCAGGACGTGGGATGGGTAGGAGGTGCGGTGCGGTGCAAAGTGGTGCAGAGTGGTGCAGGGTGGTTCAGAGCAGCTGACCTGTGCGACCCGCAGCTGTGTCTTGATGGCCACTGCGATGGGCGCCGGGCCTGCACGCACGGCGGGGGGGTGATGGGGGGAAGGGCATGGCGGGGGTGGGGGAGCGCCAGAAGGGAGGAGAGGGTTGAGGAAGGTGTAATTGTAGGGAAACGAGTTGAGTGAGGTGATTTCTCGGGAGTTGTGGGTTTAGGGTGGATAACGGATGTGCGAGTTTCCGCAAGGTGTGAGTTTATGCTGCGAGTGAACGGCACCTGCAGCAAGCCCTGGCGCTCCGCCACCTGCGCCGTGCCCGCCCATTCCGCCCATTCCGCCCACTCCGCCCACTCCGCCCATGCCCCCGCTAGGCGCACCCGCGCCGACAGCCGTCACGACGGGCATGTGAAGGGTCGTGCCGCCCGCGCCGGAGAACGGGGCCGCGGAAGGCACGGGGTGCGCCACGCGCGGGTACATGGCGGCGGGCCCGCTGCCGGAAGGGGCTGCGCGGCGGTCGTATGCGCCGACGGCGGGGTACGCGAAGTCGCGGCCAGGGTGGGTCTGATGCGCGGACATGGGATGGCGCGCGGAGCCGCCGAATTGCGGAACCTAGCGACGAGTTGGCAGCACCGGCTACGGCGCCGAGCCACGCGCTGATCTGACTCAATTGGCTGCTCTACCAGGAACGGTTTCAGCAGCAAGAAGCGGCGTGGACTCAAAATATGCGTTCTAACGTGTTCATAAGGGCGGGGGCAGCGCGTTCATTTTCCTGGCTTAGCCCGAAACAGTTACCAGATTCAGGGGTTTGTAACCCCGATTTAGGGTAACCTGTGGACACGACGGAGTATACAGTGGATGAACGGTGGCTGTTTTCCGTGCCGTCAATCGAACAAAACACGTTCCCACAACGTCCGCGAACAACCCGCGCATCATTTGAGAAAGCCCTTGAAAACGTCAGCGAAACCGCACCACGACTTCGTCAAGCGCGTACGACCCTCGCAAATCCAAGGGTTCGAGTGTCTGGTGTGCACGAAGATTTGCCACCTTCAATTCGGGGGCACAGGGTTACCTCGTTGGGTGGGCGGTTTGGCAAAAATGTGGCGGGTCCTGTGCCGGATTTTGGACGCGCGTGTCCCACCTGGGACACAAACTAAGCGCGGTACAAAAAAGCTACAGTAACCTCCAGATTCGACGGGTGTCAAAATTTTGTACAATTGGCGAAAATGAACGCGCTGCCCCCGCCCTAAGAATTGCGAGGGCTTTCTATTGATGTGGCTGGCAGTCCTCAAGGAAAGTGGCGTTGCACACTGAAGTCAGAAGGTTTTGCAACTATTTACGTGTCTGAAGGCCGGTCTAGCATGTTCATGTTCATGTTCATGTTCATATTCATGTTCATGTTCGTGTCTATTTACGTGTTTAGCGCGGTACTCCAGGCTGTTTTGCTTTCCACGCCCTACCTCAAAACCACGACCCCAATGACGATGAATGACAGGTCCGCCTATGGACTCTATCCCGCAGCTCGCAATTTGGAACACGAACATAAGAAGCATGGACTGTGAAGATTCATTACAATGACCCACTCTGGTTTTCATAGATGCTATTTTTTCTTTGTTGAAGATGGTGTGCCATGGTTGGAGATATTCAATTCGACCTAGATTGACTGATGTGAGGGCTTCAAACGTCCTAAATGCTGTTTATTTGGTTGCCTTAGATTTACTACCTTTCTGTAACCAATTATATCTAATGTTGTTTCGTCGTTCAAGTAAGCGAAATATTGTTCTTCTTTGTGTGTAAGTCTTATAGCAGAAGGAGCTGTTCTCTTAACCTTCTTACTCAAAAAACTCAATAAAGTGGATGTATTCATCGCTTTTACCCCTTCCTCGGCAGTCCCAATGCCTAACAGCTGGAGCCATCCACAATACATGAGATCCTTCTCCAGCAGCATATCTGTCGCAGAGATCTGTCGCACAGCGCTCCTTCAGTACGTGACGAAGGCTCCATATGCACGCTAGTAGAAACAGTCGCAGTAACACTCGCTAGTAACAATGATGGTAACACTCGCCGCTACCAAATTCGCGTTAGCTTATAGCTTGCGACGACGACGTGGCGCCAACGAAATGAGGCGTTTCGACTACGCACGAAAGTGAAGCCCGATCAATCGTTCGTTCGCCAGATCCGTCGCGTGCGGCAGTGCCATGGCCTTGCGAAATGGTTTGCCTTCGCTGGCCGGTCCGTTGGTTTCAAAAGTTGGAGGGAAAGTAGCTCAGGCGACTCGACGAAGCACGAATCTGAAATCCCAATCGAAGCCGCCTCGAGAATGGCTGCGGCGACCCTTCTCTGTAATTTCGACCCATTCTTAAAGCATCTGACGTGGCGTGCAGCGCAGCAACCAGCGAGGCAAGTCGAGGGTGAAACTCCGATGGACAGGCAGAGGCGAGGGTTTGAGCGGAGTGGAATAGATGTGGGGTCGCCAGGGTTCCATCTTTTCATTCGCACATCCTCCTCTCCTGCTCTGCTGATATTGCTATTGGGATCTCTGGATCTGCTCGTCCAGTACTCCTGGTCGTCCTCTGCTGAAATCTCAGCACTCACAGCTTTCAGATATTGTTGCTGTCCTCGTACCAAGCTTCTGTGACGCAATCTGTCGTTTAATAGCATGGACTGCTGCTTCGTTCACAACGAAATGGCGAAGAGCTTCAACTCGGGATCTTCGACCTCAAGTCCTGCCACGCCTACCCGAGGCATTGGCAGGTTCGGCACGCCTCGAACAGTCTTCTCGCCTGCAGCAACATATTCTTCCGTTAAGCCTACTACTGACAAGATGGCTGATCTGCAACTTCCTGCTGCTGCTCGCAACGGCGATGGTGAGATGTTCCGCAGCAGCGTGCTTCTGAAGAGCGTGAGGACGCTGCTGGAGAATCTGGCGAAGCACGGACATGCATCGTCCTCCCAAAGCTTCGCTAACGGCCTGCACAAGCCCATGAAGGCGCACGTGGCGGACGCACCTGATGTGAAGCGGCCTGGAATCGGCCGCTTCGGAGGCAAGCCTGCTGCTGCCGTGCTTGCACCTGTGGTCGTCCCTGCTGCTCCCTTCTCACCATCTGCTGCTGCTGCAGTCACACCATCTGCCGTGGTTGCGCCTGTGGTGGTGCCTGAGGTAGCGCCTGTGGCTCCAGTTGCTTCAACCACATCACAGGTGCCTGAAGCGAGTGTGACCACAGAAACAATAACTGAGGAGGCGAGTGCATGCGCTGCTGATCCGAGTGAGAAAGTGAGGTGGTCGAAGCTGCGTGACGAGGTCCGAGCTATGGATACTGCGATGAAACGTGCTGCTTACCTGAGGTGGGACAAGCGGAGCAAGGAGGCATCATGGGCCATGGAGATTGAAGCGGCCATTGAAGCCGCTCTGCGTCCCTGCTTCTTGCCCAAGCATCCTGATGCTGTGGCGAATCTGACTCCCAAAACCGTGCCTCCTGCATCTGCAGCAGCAGCGGCTGTAGCAGTGACCGCAGCACCAGCTGCTCCCTCGCCCGCAGCTAAAACAACAGTGAAATCACCTGCTGCGGCATCACAAGTGAGAGGAGCAGCAGCAGCAGCACAGAAGCCAAAGCCTGCTGTTGCAGCAAGGTGCAAGGTGGGGGTTGAAAGTGCACGAGCCAAGAATGGGTGCAGCAGCAAGGCGGTGAGCCCGAGTGTGAAGGGTGGCAAGGGCAGCAGGACGCATGCAGGCTCTGCTACATGTGCAGCACCAGCGGCAGCAGTTGCAGGATCACGTTATGCTGCATCAGCAGTGACAGCAGCTGGCAAGGCCAGTAGCAGGTATGCGGGTGGGGTGAAGAGGAGAGAGGAGGGTGGGTGTGGGGAGGGAGCAGCAGGGAGGGCAGCAGGTGGAAGGCAGGGTGGTGTGAAGGCAGCAGGTGGCAGAGCAGTGGCAAGTGGCGTGTGTGGCAGGGAGGGGGTGAAGCAGCAGGCGGGGAGGAGAGAGGGTTTGGTGCATGAGAGGCAGGCGAGGCCAGGCTGCAGCAGCAGCAGGGCGCACAGAAGGAGCTCCTGAAAGAGCCATCAGTGCAATGTCTGCTCTCAGCATGAGAGCATCTCAGACAAATATGGGCTGTATATACATGGGTACAGAATTGAAGAGTTCGCTGGAACAATGGAACAACTCCCAGCTGCTGTCGGGAAGTATGTGATGACTGGTAGGAAGCACTATGTACACTGTATATTAAGAAGGTAGGGACTAGGAACTTAGAGAGCTAGGAACTTAGGGTTTGGATGGAGAGAAGTTTGGCCAAAGGAAGGGGTTGGACTAGTGAGAGAGATACATGATATAGGGTTAGGGAAGGTGGTCAGGAGGGGTATACCACCAACAAGAGAATACATACTACACTAGCTATACTAATATGCAGTTATATAAAGAAATACAATTTCTGACATCCCCCCTTAACTGCATACAAGCATAGCCAATGAGAGGCGCTCTACCCTAAGTGCAGTCGTCACCGTGCCGCAGCTGGGCCCACCGATACAACACACGATGGAATGCCCGCCTGCGGTTTAACCCCCGCAGTGGATGCCCGGTGTGCGCGACTCTGGGTGACCACGCCCAGAAACGACTGAGAAAAGAACGAACCACGAGAAAACATTACGAAAGTAAAAAAACAGGAAAGAAGACACCCTTTCTCTCTCTCTCTCATTCTTCCCCCCTTTTAACCTCTCTCATCCCCCCTTAACCTCTCTCATCCCCCCTTACACTCTCTCCCCCCCCCCCCCTACAGCAACAAGTGCTGCAGGGAGAGAGGAAGAGGGAAGGGAGGGAGGAGGTGCTGGCTCCTCACAACCTCACACCCGCCACCCCCACATCTCCCCCTCCTCCCCCCCCCCCCCCACGACGGAAGCAGTGGAAGGGAGGGCGGGCGGGAGGGGGCAGGGCGGCGGTAGCTGCTGCTGGCGCTGGCGGTAGCTGCTGCTGGCGCTGGCGGTAGCTGCTGCTGGCGCTGGCGGTAGCTGCTGCTGGCGCTGGCGCGGGCGGCTGGCGCTGGCGGTAGCTGCTGCTGGCGCTGGCGCGGGCGGCTGGCCGCGGTGGGGCGGCTGGCTGCTGCTGGCGCTGGCGGTAGCTGCTGCTGGCGCTGGCGGTGGCGGCTGGCCGCGGTGGTGGCGTCCGCGCTGACGGGCCACGCTGGCGGCGGCGCCTGCGGTCCGGGCTGGCGCGGGCGCTGGCGACGGAACGGGGGGCCGCGGGGCGTCGAAACGGGGGGCCGCGGGGGACGGGAATCGGGGCAGCGACGGGCACGACGGGCAACGCAGCGACGGGCGTGACGGGCAAGGCAGCGACGGGTGACGGGCGACGGGCGCAACGGGCGCGACGAGAAAAAATAGCGCATTTCGCGCTGTTGTACGGGCGGGCCCATAATTCTTAAAAAAAAAGGAAGGTTCCGGGAAAGAACCTGCTCTGTACCATGTTAAGAAGGTAGGGACTAGGAACTTAGAGAGCTAGGAACTTAGGGTTTGGATGGAGAGAAGTTTGGCCAAAGGAAGGGGTTGGACTAGTGAGAGAGATACATGATATAGGGTTAGGGAAGGTGGTCAGGAGGGGTATACCACCAACAAGAGAATACATACTACACTAGCTATACTAATATGCAGTTATATAAAGAAATACAATTTCTAACAGTATATTACTAGGATATGTTTGCACATGGCCCTGGGAGTAGTTTTTTGTAATTTGCGCGTAAATGCTTTTAAACAATCTGTGTTTCATGTGTATGGAAGCTGTGGAGAAGAGTGCAACACCACATGAGAGCACAGGATAAAAGAGCAAGTTACTTGGTATGAGTGGATTTCATGAAAGTATGTTGGGATGAATGTAAGGATCATTGTGCATTAATGTACGGTACTCCAACACAACGCCATTTGGTACACTGATTGAGATCTTCAGAGAAGAGAAACTTGCATGATGAAGTGCACATTGTTAGCTTGGAAAAAAACAGTTCCCAGCTGCTGTATTAAACATGAAGACACTAACCTCCTCCTGTCCCTGCATGGGAACGTGTGTACATGGGTTCATGGGTGAATTGGGGCATGCATGAATAGGTGCATCGATGCATGGGTGTGTGCGTTCACGGTCACATAGCAGAAGCAAGGTATTGGGCGGATTGATGAAACTCACAAGTTCAGTACATGGGTTCATGGGTGCATGGGTGTGTGGGTGTGTATGAGAGGGTAGGTGCATGAGTGCAAAGGTGCATGGATGCATGGGTGCATGGATTCATCGGTGGATGGGCGCATAGGTGCATGGGTGCATGGCTCGCATGGCAGATGCAAGGCATGGGGTTGGGTGATGTGACTGAGAACATCGGATGGAGGGAAGCAAGGGAAGAGAGTGCTTCTGGGTTGAAGAAATCGTTTCCCAAATGAGTCGGTGAAGAGAATGAGAGAGGTGTGAGTAGTGGCGTTGGGAGGAGGGGAAGGAACGGAAGCAGCAGAGTCATGGGGGAGAATGCGAGGGGGTGCGTGAAGAGTGAAGGAGAAAGTGAGGTGGCAAGCAGGCAGCAACTGGCAAGCAGGAACAGACGGAGATGGCAAATGAGATGGCAACAGAGAAACTGAGATGACAATTAAATTGGCAACTGAAATGGCAACTGAATTGGCAACTGAAATAGAAAGTGAGATGACAGTTGAATTGGCAACTAAGATGGCAAGTGATGCAACTAAAATTGCAACTCCAACGCCACCTGAAACGTGAAATGAGATGGCAGATGCAGTTGCAACCGAAATGGCAACTGAAATGGAAAATGGGATGGTAACTGAGACTTCAACTGACATGGCTATTGCGAAAGCTACTGAGATGGTAATGTGAGGTGGCAAGTGAGATTGCAAGTGAGAAGAAAACTAAAATGTCGACTACTGCCGCGACTAGTATTGCAAATGACGTAGCATCGCAGTGGCAACTGAGAAGGCAACATAAAGTCAACTGAAGTGGCTACCGAGACAGCCCTGGACAAGGCATCTAATATATAAACTGAAAAGGCAGCTGATATCGCAATTGGTTCGGCCACCGAAATAGCAATGGAGGTTGGAAACTGAGGTGGCAGATGAAACGCTGAACTGATAGAAACAGAAATGGCACCTGGAATGAAAACTAAAATCACAACTAAAATCGCAGCTGAGATGGCAAACGACATAGGAAGCAAATTGTGTGAGGGAGAGAATGGTGTTAACAGGACTAGGCAAGAATGGTGCATTGAATGAAACAGTTGGGTACAAGTAGCAAACCCTAGTTGGGGTTGTACCCCATATTGGCTACCCCACTATAGCCTACCAACATATAACACATTACAATTTAACACACCCCCATAGGCAAAGTGGGGGAGAACAAAGGGTCACAAGACCAGTCCAGCAAAGCAACGCAAGCCCAGGGTGGATCACAACGTCACCACACTCCGAGCACAAGCAAAGGCCACAAGGCCAGTTCACATGCAGTGCTAGATATAGTACAAGACAAGCAACACAGTGATCAAAACCTAGCAAGCAAGCAACAACAGAAGCAGCGCCAGCAGACTCAGCACCAAGGAAGTCAACAGCAGCAGCAGTAGCATAGGAGGGAGCGAGGGGAGAGGGAGAGCACCCCTCAAAGATGGGGGTGCGAGGAGCGCCGCGAGCAGCACCTACAGCTACAATGCTCTTCTCGGCTGCTAGCAGTTTCTCCTCTAGGAGGGCGACAGTGAGCTCAGTGGGACAGCGAGCAAGGAAATAGTCGCGCACTGAGCTGAGGGTGTCAGGGAGACGGGTGACTATGAAGTGGAGTGTCCAGTACAGTGGAGGGGGGTTCTTAGCGCAGAACTCGGTGGGAAGGGCGGCACGCAGGCGAGCGTCACTAGTGCGAAGGTGGGTGATAAGATCGGCGACTGTAGCAAAGGTGGACAGCTCAGGGAACAGGTAAGGCAGCATGAGGCGGCTAAGCTCGGCTGTGGCAGGCGAGGAGTAGCGAGCAACGACAGCGTCGTAAAGGGCCTTAGCGGTTTTGCAGTCGCCAAAATGCTCGAGCTCAGCGAATGGCTAGGCGAGCAGCAGCGTCACGCGTCTGCCAGTGGGAACGGGCACTAAGCTCGGCTGTGGCAGGAGGGGCAGGCGCAGCACCAGATGCGTAATCATAGAGTGACACGTGCTCCTTGCTATCGCTCAGGAGGAACAGCTGCAGGTCATCTAGCCAAGTGGTGAACTGCACAGGGCGGCCCTCAGCATCGAAGGACAGCACGCGGATGGAAGCCATCGCGACAGCACGTCAGAGCAAAGCAAGCAGCCGCAGCAGGGGAAGGCTGGCGCTACGGGCAGGCGGCGCTGCAAGCAGGTAGCTCGGTGGGGAGCGCGGCGGGCGGGCGGCGCTCTGAGCGGGCAGCGTGGCAGGTAGCGCGGCGGGCAGGCAGCGCTGCAAAGAGGCAGCGCGACGGGCGGGCGACGC